ACACAGAGATCTGTATTACACTAGACAGACATAGAACACATGGGAACCTGCATGAAACTACAGAAACACAGAACACATGGGAACCTGCATGAAACTACAGAAACACAGACGAACGGAGATCTGTATTACACTAGACAGACATAGAACACATGGGAACCTGCATGAAACTTCAGAAACACAGAACACACGGAGGCCTGTACTACACAAGACAGACATAGAAAACATGGGAACTTGCATGAAACTACAGAAACACAGAACACACGGAGATCTGTATTACACTAGACAGACATAGAACACACGGATACCTGCATGAAACTACAGAAACACAGAACACACGGAGATCTGTATTACACAAGACAGACATAGAACACATGGGAACCTGCATGAAACTACAGAAACACAGAACACATGGGAACCTGCATGAAACTACAGAAACACAGAACACACGGAGATCAGTATTACACTAGACAGACATAGAACACATGGGAACCTGCATGAAACTACAGAAACACAGAACACATGGGAACCTGCATGAAACTTCAGAAACACAGAACACACGGAGATCTGTATTACACTAGACAGACATAGAACACATGGGAACCTGCATGAAACTTCAGAAACACAGAACACACGGATATCTGTATTACACTAGACAGACATAGAAAACATGGGAACCTGCATGAAACTTCAGAAACACAGAACACACGGAGATCAGTATTACACTAGACAGACATAGAACACATTGGAACCTGCATGAAACTTCAGAAACACAGAACACACGGAGATCTGTATTACACTAGACAGACATAGAACACATGGGAACCTGCATGAAACTTCAGAAACACAGAACACACGGAGATTTGTATTACACTAGACAGACACAGAACACATGGGAACCTGCATGAAACTACAGAAACACAGAACACACGGAGATCTGTATTACACAAGACAGACATAGAAAACATGGGAACCTGCATGAAACTACAGAAACATAGAACACATGGGAACCTGCATGAAACTACAGAAACACAGAACACAAGGAGATCAGTATTACACTAGACAGACATAGAACACATGGGAACCTGCATGAAACTTCAGAAACACAGAACACACGGAGGCCTGTACTACACAAGACAGACATAGAAAACATGGGAACCTGCATGAAACTACAGAAACACAGAACACACGGAGATCTGTATTACACTAGACAGACATAGAACACATGGGAACCTGCATGAAACTACAGAAACACAGAACACACGGAGGCCTGTACTACACAAGACAGACATAGAAAACATGGGAACCTGCATGAAACTACAGAAACACAGAACACACGGAGATCTGTATTACACTAGACAGACATAGAACACACGGATACCTGCATGAAACTACAGAAACACAGAACACACGGAGATTTGTATTACACTAGACAGACATAGAACACATGGGAACCTGCATGAAACTTCAGAAACACAGAACACACGGAGATCTGTATTACACTAGACAGACACAGAACACATGGGAACCTGCATGAAACTACAGAAACACAGAACACACGGAGATCTGTATTACACAAGACAGACATAGAAAACATGGGAACCTGCATGAAACTACAGAAACACAGAACACACGGAGATCTGTATTACACTAGACAGACATAGAACACATGGGAACCTGCATGAAAATACAGAAACACAGAACACACGGAGATCTGTATTACACTAGACAGACATAGAACACATGGGAACCTGCATGAAACTTCAGAAACACAGAACACACGGAGATCTGTATTACACTAGACAGACATAGAACCCATGGGAACCTGCATGAAACTTCAGAAACACAGAACACACGGAGATCTGTATTACACTAGACAGACATAGAACCCATGGGAACCTGCATGAAACTTCAGAAACACAGAACACACGGATATCTGTATTACACAAGACAGACATAGAAAACATGGGAACCTGCATGAAACTTCAGAAACACAGAACACACGGAGATCTGTATTACACTAGACAGACATAGAACCCATGGGAACCTGCATGAAACTACAGAAACACAGAACAAACTGAGATCTGTATTACACAAGACAGACATAGAAAACATGGGAACCTGCATGAAACTACAGAAACACAGAACACACAGAGATCTGTATTACACTAGACAGACATAGAACACATGGGAACCTGCATGAAACTACAGAAACACAGAACACATGGGAACCTGCATGAAACTACAGAAACACAGACGAACGGAGATCTGTATTACACTAGACAGACATAGAACACATGGGAACCTGCATGAAACTTCAGAAACACAGAACACACGGAGGCCTGTACTACACAAGACAGACATAGAAAACATGGGAACTTGCATGAAACTACAGAAACACAGAACACACGGAGATCTGTATTACACTAGACAGACATAGAACACACGGATACCTGCATGAAACTACAGAAACACAGAACACATGGGAACCTGCATGAAACTACAGAAACACAGAACACACGGAGATTTGTATTACACTAGACAGACATAGAACACATGGGAACATGCATGAAACTACAGAAACACAGAACACACGGAGGCCTGTACTACACAAGACAGACATAGAAAACATGGGAACCTTCATGAAACTACAGAAACACAGAACACACGGAGATCAGTATTACACTAGACAGACATAGAACACATGGGAACCTGCATGAAACTACAGAAACACAGAACACACGGAGATCAGTATTACACTAGACAGACATAGAAAACATGGGAACCTGCATGAAACTACAGAAACACAGAACACACGGAGATCTGTATTACACAAGACAGACATAGAACACATGGGAACCTGCATGAAACTACAGAAACACAGAACACATGGGAACCTGCATGAAACTACAGAAACACAGAACACACGGAGATCAGTATTACACTAGACAGACATAGAACACATGGGAACCTGCATGAAACTACAGAAACACAGAACACATGGGAACCTGCATGAAACTTCAGAAACACAGAACACACGGAGATCTGTATTACACTAGACAGACATAGAACACATGGGAACCTGCATGAAACTTCAGAAACACAGAACACACGGATATCTGTATTACACTAGACAGACATAGAAAACATGGGAACCTGCATGAAACTTCAGAAACACAGAACACACGGAGATCAGTATTACACTAGACAGACATAGAACACATTGGAACCTGCATGAAACTTCAGAAACACAGAACACACGGAGATCTGTATTACACTAGACAGACATAGAACACATGGGAACCTGCATGAAACTTCAGAAACACAGAACACACGGAGATTTGTATTACACTAGACAGACACAGAACACATGGGAACCTGCATGAAACTACAGAAACACAGAACACACGGAGATCTGTATTACACAAGACAGACATAGAAAACATGGGAACCTGCATGAAACTACAGAAACATAGAACACATGGGAACCTGCATGAAACTACAGAAACACAGAACACACGGAGATCAGTATTACACTAGACAGACATAGAACACATGGGAACCTGCATGAAACTACAGAAACATAGAACACACGGAGATCAGTATTACACTAGACAGACATAGAACACATGGGAACCTGCATGAAACTTCAGAAACATAGAACACACGGAGATTTGTATTACACTAGACAGACATAGAACACATGGGAACCTGCATGAAACTTCAGAAACACAGAACACACGGAGATCTGTATTACACTAGACAGACATAGAACACATGGGAACCTGCATGAAACTTCAGAAACACAGAACACACGGAGATCTGTATTACACTAGACAGACGTAGAACACATGGGAACCTGCATGAAACTACAGAAACACAGAACACACGGATATCTGTATTACACTAGACAGACATAGAACACATGGGAACCTGCATGAAACTACAGAAACACAGAACACATGGAAACCTGCATGAAACTACAGAAACATAGAACACACGGAGATCTGTATTACACTAGACAGACATAGAACACATGGGAACCTGCATGAAACTACAGAAACACAGAACACATGGAAACCTGCATGAAACTACAGAAACACAGAACACACGGATTTCTGTATTACACTAGACAGACATAGAACACATTGGAACCTGCATGAAACTTCAGAAACACAGAACACACGGAGGCCTGTACTACACAAGACAGACATAGAAAACATGGGAACCTTCATGAAACTACAGAAACACAGAACACACGGAGATTTGTATTACACTAGACAGACATAGAACACATGGGAACCTGCATGAAACTACAGAAACACAGAACACACGGAGATCAGTATTACACTAGACAGACATAGAACACATGGGAACCTGCATGAAACTACAGAAACACAGAACACACGGAGATCAGTGTTACACAAGACAGACATAGAACACATTGGAACCTGCATGAAACTACAGAAACACAGAACACATGGGAACCTGCATGAAACTACAGAAACACAGAACACACGGAGATCTGTTTTACACTAGACAGACATAGAACACATGGGAACCTGCATGAAACTACAGAAACATAGAACACATGGGAACCTGCATGAAACTTCAGAAACACAGAACACACGGAGATCTGTATTACACTAGACAGACATAGAACACATGGGAACCTGCATGAAACTACAGAAACACAAAACACACGGAGATCTGTATTACACTAGACAGACATAGAACACATGGGAACCTGCATGAAACTACAGAAACACAAAACACACGGAGATCTGTATTACACTAGACAGACATAGAACACATTGGAACCTGCATGAAACTACAGAAACACAAAACACACGGAGATCTGTATTACACTAGACAGACATAGAACAAATGGGAACCTGCATTAAACTTCAGAAACATGCATCAAACTAGAACATACAACGCACGAAGACGAGACTCGAACACTCCACCACCCCTAGTCCTATGGTGTCTGCCCTCTTACTCACCGCATTCCCGTTTGTAGTCAGAGCAACAGTCCCCAAACCGAGCACACTGGTCGTTACAGAAACATACGCTGTTGGCGACATACTTGTGGCATCGTCCCCGACACGACCCGTCAACTGCAACCACATGGTAACATGGGCTACAGATCTAGAGTAGCCTTGTCTGAATGAACTCCATTATCTCGACATACCTCAGTCTGCTTTTTTCGAACAACGGATACGCCGAAATACGTTCGAAGGTTATGCTAGATCTGGTACAAAGTGCATATTGGAGATTACTCATTGTGGTTACTTGTCAACAGGGGAGGTAATGCTCTTTTTCAGAATGTTTCTTTCGAATAAATACCCGAACACACAGTTCAAAGATGAACAGGGTGCCGAGTCTAAGACTTAGTAACTCCCTGTGCAGAGTTGCCTCCCTTAGGTGTGCCCGAAAACCTATGAAAGTATGTCCGAATCCTTGTTTAGCTACAAGGCTATGGCGTCTCATCAACGCTGTGACAACGTCATGGCATCTAATCAACGTTGTCACAACTTCATGGCGTCTGATCAATGTTGTCACAACTTCATGGCGTCTGATCAACGTCACAACGTCATGGCGTCACATCAACGCTGTCAAAACGTCATGGCATCTAATCAACGTTGTCACAACTTCATGGCGTCACATCAACGTTGTCACAACGTCATGGTATCTCATCAACGTTGTTACACGTCATGGCGTCTGATCAACGTCACAACGTCGTGGCGTCTGATCAACGTTGTCGCAACGTCGTTGTATTTCATCAACGTTGTCACGTCATGGTATCTCATCAACGTTGTCACAACGTCATAGCGTCTCAACAACGTTGTCACAACGTCGTGGCGTCTTATCAACGTTGTCACAACATCATGGCATCTTATTAACGTTGTCCCAACGTCATGGTATCTCAATAACATTGTCACACGTCATGGCGTCTGATCAATGTCACAACGTCATGGCATCCCATCAACGTTGGCACGACGATATTCACGACGGTATTCCGTCTCATCAACGTCATGATGTCTCACCAACCATATCATAGCGTCTGCATGGTCAACGTTGCCATTGCATCATGGTGTCTCATCAACGTCTTCACGACGTCATGGTGTATCGTCATCGTTGTCAGGACATCATAACCCAAGTTGGGTTTATTGATTAAGTTAAATCTGTTTATTAGCTTTTCAGCCGAGCCCTCTCTTATACATTTGACATATTGTATAAAATTCCGACATGGATGATCTGACCATGAAAATACTGACCTTTCAGGAACAATTCTTTAACTGGACACAATTCCCACTTATGGTGAATACAAGATACAACTCACACAGCAGTGTTGACACGAGTGGCACACCAAGCAGCACGCACACGAAGATTCTCGCCATGTTGATATGTGGCACGATAAGATAACGCATTTTGTGTCAAATTGAAGAAATGCCCAGATTTGAGTCACTGCATTCATGCAGGTCATGTTCGTAAAGGCCTATGTTCTGGCTCCAACAATAAGATCACACGTATCACATGAGAGCTTAAGAGTCGGGTTCGATTCCGCACATGGGTACAATGTGTGAAACCCATTCCTGGTGTCCCCCGCCGTGATATTGCCAGAACAACTCCAAGCATCAAGTGGCATTAGGTGACGCAGGTCACTTTACAGTGATTGCCTCCCTTAGTTGCAAGGATCCGCTGATTGTCAGTTTGAATTCGAGATTCGTCCATATTATGGTTCTTGGTTGACAACGCAGTAAACGTCACCTTTGGGTTTTCTGTCCAGAATGTCTCGCGAAAACCGGATAATCAGATTATCTGGCGAAACAGATTCCATGCGCGTAAAAAAGCACAATAGTGGTGAAAATGATATGACAGTGATGCCACCAGGTGTCCACCAGCATGTCAAATCAAAAACAACAACAAAAACGTGAACAACAGAATAATATTTTATTGGCAACTTCAGTACCATTTAAGAAAGATGAGTCTACATTAATCACAGCCTAAATGTTTAAATTTCATAAATAGCACTTAATGGCTTTTGGGCATATACAGCAAACTACGTTTAAAACTTATTTTTTAGTCCGACCATTTGTTGTTTAAATGCTGTATATATGCTTTTAACGAACTACGGTTATTACGAACTGAAATTAGAGGTCCCTCTGAGTTCGTTATAACCGTAGTTTGCTGTATGAATAGAAAGCTATAATCTACATGTTTCGTGGCAAGATTGAAAGTGAAATGTTAATCTTATCCAAAATGTATGCAACTCCAGATAAGCTTGAGAAAACAAATAGAAGCGTTGCTACAGACAAAAAGATCTTACATTGACGGAACTTCGTTTCAAATTTCGAGCGAGTGAGTATGGTTTTACCCAGCTTTTAGCAATATTCAAGCAATATCACGACGGGGGTTACGATGGGCCTCACAAATAGTACCCATGTGGGAAATCGAACCCGGGCCTTCGGCGTAACGAGCCAACGCTTTAACCTCTAGACTACCCCACCGCCCCATGAGTTATGGTACATCTTCCCGAGGCAAGCGTGTCCACTTGACTACATCAATATTCCTAACGTCTAGTTTCGATAAAGGCAAGTGGACACTATTTCATCAGGTAGATGATGCATTCCTACAGCAGGCTTAAGCGATAACAACTTAGAGTATAATAAGTAAGAGATTATATGGATGTCAACGTCTTTATTATGCTTACTCCTTTATCATGTGAATGCCTTTCAAAGACTTGTTACGGGATAATGCCTTTGACATTACCTAGTCCTGTTTTGGACTGTTTGATTTGAAACGCCCTCTTTGCAATGAGATAAGAAATCTATATTATTGTTTATAAATAATACAAACATGAATGTGGCTATATTGGTTGGTGCTTTGAAATAGTGTCGTTGTGGTTCCAAAGTGTCTGTAACTACCTGTGATATTATGCGATATGGGTGATCCAGTTTGTACCTCCATGTCAGAATGAAGAGATCTGATTGGTCAACGTGATCTTGATAAAAAACTATGGATCTCGCCTAAGAAGGGAATACATTTCTCAGCTTATTTCTGTAAGCTTATGTATTAAAGTAAAAGTGTATGATGACCGCTGTAACAATACAGTGCACGACATAACTGTATGCTAACATGAATAACCATATGATATATATTTATAACCATATCATCACATGACGCTGTTCGTTGTCCACATAAAACTTCGATACACAGCTTACCTGAATAAAACAAAGTACAAAGACACAAAGATATAAACGAAATATTCTAAATACTGAAGTTTCGTCAATCTAATATAGATATTTCGTCGATAATTTGGACAGATACATCAGCACAAATATATTCTAACTATTATAGTATTGTCATGGCAACCAGAGTATACATGTAATCAATGTTTTGGCAATTGTAAGTAGACAAGCAGAACACTTTCAAATATATAAACATTGACACACGTGTATATTTGCATTCTAATGGCGTAAGTAATTACGAGAAAAAGACACAATAGCACAATTATAATAGTAACAAACTTTGAAAATAAATGGATTTTGGTAACAACACACAAGCACTTTCTGATTACAATGGAAACGTGTAAGAAAAGACAGTCAGCTTTTATATTATGAATACAAATTAACTGATAACAGGAATATCGATTCCACCATGAAGTGAATCTGTTTTCCTGATGCTAACAACCCACAAAGTTTTGCATTGTACTACCGCTTCACTCCGTGTACGTGTAGAGTAAGTAGGTGAGTGAGTGAGTATGGTTTGACGCCGCTTTGAGATATAGTCCCGCAATATCACGGCGGGGGACACCGGAAACTGACTTCACACATTGTACCCATGAGGGGAATAGAACCCGGGTCTTCGGCGTGACGTGCCAACGCTTAACTGGGATAGATACCCTTGACCCATTCGTCACCATCTCGTCTTCGCTATATCTCAAATTAGCACACACGTTCCCTCACGTATTTGATTGGTCGGCTACATTTAGCGGATCTTCCTACGGCTAAGGGACGGAACTCTGTATGTAGATAATTGGCGTGTATTGGAATTTACAGCCATAAAATACGTGAAATGTGAAAAGGTGGAGTTCAACCACATGACAATTTATCATAAAGCAATGATATCTACATACCCCTCGCTATCCCTGTCAATGGCAATAATATGCAAAAATCATCAAACGTTAGAATTGGTCTTCAGCAACCAATGCTTGTCGAAAGGGGCGACTAACGGGATCGGGTGGTCAGGCTCGCTGCATGTCATTGTATCCCAATGCGTTGATCGATTCTCATAATGTCAGAGGGGCGGTCGGGTAGCCTTGTGGTTAAAGGGTTCCCTCGTCACGCCGATGACCCGGGTTCGATTCCCGGTACAAAGTGTGAAGCCCATTTCTGGTGTCCCCAGCGGTGATATTGCTGGAATATTGCTAAAAGCGGCGTAAAACCATACTCACTCACTCACTCACTCATTATGTCAGTCACTGGATTGTCTGGTCCAGACTCGATTATCTTAATACCGCCGTCATACAACTGGAATATGCTGAGAGCGGCGTTAAACAAAACAAACAAACAAACAAACAAAGGGGAACAGCTAAAGCATCGGGTGAACTTCTGCACCAAATAAGCACCGACATAAGACTGAACAGGACATGCATATGTATAGCGGATACGGTTACAATGGATAGTGACCAAGATGACAGTGGATAGTGCGTAGAATGATAGTGAATATGATATAAAATGATAGAGGGCAATACGACAGCGGATAGTGACTATTTCGACAGTATGTGTACCCTGTGGATGATAGCGTTCACAAAAAACAGCCTATCCACGTGATCATGAGATGATTAATCGACCACAACGCACGCTCCGTGGGTAATTCAAGTACAATGTAAATTAAATACTTTGCGGTAAAATGCCGACCGAACACTGATGTTTCTAATTGAAAGCAACCCTTTCCATATTCGCTAGACATCTCTGCAAAAACCAAAATCGATTCCCTTTCCGGCTCTATCATAAGCATGTGTTTAGGAATCACTATCAAATGGTGATGGTACCAAGCGCTCACCTTAAAAAAAAACACAGGAAAATAACATGTTCTACATTTCAATGTCACATATACCAATCTGTCTGTAAGTGAGAGGGTACGGTTTACGTCGCTTTTACTAATATTCCAGAAATATCACGGCGGTGGACACCAGAAATGGGTTTCATACATTGTACCCATGTGGGGTGACAAGCGAACGCTTTAAGTGAAAAAATACAACAAATTAACTGGACTGAAGTCGGAAGTAGGGGTAAGGGAACCGAGTGTACACCTGGTGAAAAGGGAAGCACGCTCACCATGTGTTTCCACAAGAACAGCCGCTTAAAAAATCGCATCCTATTTTAATACTTTTTGTTTGTGTACACAAAGTGACATACACGGTATTAAAAAAAAATACCCGAAACCGATTATCTAAAGACATGTTTTGTAACTGTTTATTTGCAACAGTTATTTGACTGCCTTCTCCAATACTTGGCAGGGGGCACGGGTGGCCCAGTCGTCTAAGGCGCCGCAATTTGCTGTGCAGAGTTGCGTCCCTTCGGCACGTCAGAAACCTTTGATTGTGGGTTCGAATCACGGTTCGCCCCGATTATGTTTCTAGGTTTGTCAGCACCATACCCGTGCTCGTGGGTTTCACCGAAGTGGTAAACGTCTGAGACTTGCTTTCCTCCCACATTAAGCTGACACGCCGCGATATAACTGGAATGCTGTTAAAAGCGGCGTTAAACCCAACTCACTCACTCACTCCAATACTTGGCCTGTTCCTACATCATATGATGTGCCTAAGTTCTTTCGATCATCTAAAGGAGCTGCATTGTTCTCGTACTAACGTTGCAACAGCTATCAGTGATATCGTAGACACATTTCACAATGAGACCAATGACACATGTTGATATTTCCATAAGATACATGGAAGATCAGAATATATTAAAATGAGAAACAGGTGTTCCCGGCATTTTTCCAGGTGCAATTTTCATCTTGAAGCACATCTTACATGTTTAAGGGGCGATTCATGTTATCTCGGAATTCTGTTCACCATTGACTTGGGAATTAGGAGTCCTCGGCCACACTACGAAACCCTTTCTCCTCAAATCTGCCAAACTTTAGACGGATAGGCATATTACGATTTGAAACACAAAATTGTTTTTCACAAACTTGAACCAATCCTGCTGGATTCCAATTGGCCCGTGTCAAGTAACAGTTAAGAGCACAAATACGTCTATGTGAAACAAACAGGGATATCTTTGATATAGGAAACATTTAGATGGAGGTTTGCTGAACTGATGTTGATTATGCTGTTTTAGTTGGAGGATGAAACATAAGAACTAACTTGACCTTTTGTTTCCTCTTCAGCTATAAAATACATTTCGTATATTTCAAAACACATTAAAACACCAAAACGGCATGGTAGTGACCTATTTCATAGGTAAAACATTGAACACATAATTATATATGTCACAGCACGAAAACATGATTTTTAAAACTATAAAATATAATTAATCATCCAATGAATATTAATTCATTGTAAAGGTTGTTGAATGGCAGACAGTTTAACGTGACGTAACACGTGGTAATGCTGACACGGAAATGCTGAAGTAATGCTGGAATAATGCTGAAATATTTTTGAATCAAGCTTCTGGTAGCTTCACGTCATCTTCTGTCTGTGGAACAGAGTTATCTCCCTTGGAGACTTCTTTTGAGGCGAATTCTTCCGCTGCACTATTATCTCTTATGCCATCATCAGCAGTGTCATTTTCATCACTAACCGACGCTTCTTCAACAGTTAGAGCGGGTATAGCCATGCTAGTAGCGTTACCCAGTACTGGCCTTGTATCCTGGGTTTCGACGGAAGTGTTGATGACGTCACAGTCACCATCCGGGCCCTTTTTATTCTGACCATTCTCTGTTAAGAAGAACGCAACACTGGCATCATTGATGGGACCCGTAAGAGGGGGACTACTTTCCTGCGCAACCTCTTCCTTGGACGGTGTGATGGGGCCTTCAACGACTTCGTCGACGTCTGGCGTCATGTCTTGCTCACTCATCTGTAACGGCTCCATTGAGGCTCCATCCGTGACACTAGGGAGTTCAATGTCCAAGTCCTTGAATGCCAAATGTTCCTCGCCAGCCATAGGTTCATCACGTGGTATATCATGTTCCTCTGTAGGTTCTTCCTTTGGGTTTTCCAATATTTTCTCTTTAATTTCTTCTGTTTCCCTCTGTATGGTAACACTTTTAACACTCCCGGGATGAGATCTTGTCTGCGGAACTGCGTGTGCGTTGATTATAAGCGGTTCGTCGTTCCAGTGATTTGAATCACCGGACACTGACGGTACATTTACCGATCTGTCCACCAAGATCGGCTTCGGTTTCCGGGGTTTGATTACCGGCTCCTTCCGTGGTTCCTCATCGTCCTTCACCTTCTCTTCTGTCATGTGATTCGATTTATCCGCTCCATCCTTGGCCGACATGGCATTTGGTGTAGGAGGAGGCTGGTTGATCAACGATGTTTCCTCAACAGGGTCACGTGACTTCCGGATTCGCTCCATCGATATTCCTTGCACGGACGGTAATCGGGAGTTCAGCTTTGGCATGCTGTTAGCTCGGTTCAATGTGACACCCATTCCTCGACCTGAAATATAGTCATGTTTCTTCGTTTCTTCGGAATTATATGTAGATAGATTTCACACACATATCGTGATAATATTGCAAATATTAACCCATTTAAATAGTAAATTATCTTAATTCCTACAAAGAAACAGTTTGTTTTCAGTGGATTGTCATTTGATTAGCATTAAAACTGCTTTTCATAAGGTGTTTTACAGGAGAATGATCTATTATTTGATTTGAAATGCGTTTTTATTGACAGTGTTGCAGATGAGGCTATTTATTTTCTTCAGCGTCACAATTATTTACCGTTTAACCCATTTGGCGAAAAGACATTTTTCAAACGAAGATTTTTTTTAAACTGCTTTGATTATTTATTACAGCTTGTGTATATATATTCTTTCAGGAGAATACTGACCTTTCACGTTTAATCCACTTGGCCAGAATATCAACTCTTCATAAACTCTCTCGTCGCCATGTTTGTCAGCCTCGTTCCCGTGACTGTCGCCCCAGGCCTGTTTTGGTTGGCTGGTAGCCGGAGTAGGTCTTCGGCCATATCCGGGAGCTGTCTTTGGTCTTCGGGGAGTCATCGGGGAGGAAACCTCATCAACGTCAGAGCGGGGTGAGTCTGTGTGAGCAATGAGTGAACGAGCAAAGGAAGGAGGGAGAACTACAGTAAACTACGGTTATAACGAACTCAAAGGGATCACTAAGTTAAGTTCGTAATAACCGAAGCTCGTTATAAGCATATATACGGCATATATACAGTTACTGTACATGTCCGGGACAAATAATCAGTTCGTTATATCCGTAAGTTCGTCGTAACCGTGTTCGTTATAAACGTAGTTTACTGCGTCAATATACGTGACTATCTTGCTTTTATTTGAAGTTGTGAGCGGTTTGGGAATAAATGAATAAATATATTTAACGTCCCTTTGAAAAGCACTTCGGTTACATAATTACGAGTCAGCTTGGTGTTGAAGGGCGCATGAATGTGATATAGGTTATAAGCGAGAATCTCTTTGGGGATGATCAACGATCGTCATGGGAACAATGTCTACGTAGGGAAGAAGTGAGTGGCTGAGTAAGTTTTAACGCGGCTTTTAACAGTATTGCAGTTATATCGCGGCGTGTCAGCTTAATGTGGGAGGAAAGCCCGAAGTGATGCAGGTCTCAGACGTCTACCACTTCGGTGAAATCCACGAGCATGGGTATGGTGCTATCTAATCTAGAAACATAATCGGGGCGAACCGGTACTCGAACCCACAATCAGAGGCTTCTGGCGTCCCAAAGGGGCGAACCGGGATTCGAACCCACATCCATATGCTTCTGGCGTGCTAAAGGGACGCAACTCTGCACAGCGAATCGTGGCGCCTTAGACGACTGGGCCACCCGTGCCCCCGTCGGGAAGAAGGGTGTTCTGCTTAAGACTGTGAACTGGAAGATGTTCAGGGCCCACTTGCACAAAGCGATCTTACCGCTAAGATGATCGTAACTCCCATACTTTAACATAGGCTTACAATAGCCGTAGCGCTAAGATCGCTTAGTGCAAGTGGGCCCTGATCACTAATACCCACATTCCAGCTCTATTAGGACGGGAGACACGCGAAAAGTTTCGAATATTTCACTCCGAGTGACCGGCGAGCGAACTAACCACACCGCTCCCCACAGTCGGGCTATGACGAAATACTTGTTTCTCCAAGCAATCATATGTCATTGATATGAAACGGGAAAAGTATAACGGTACTGTTGAGTCTTGATATGTCGAATACCTACCTGGAGGGGCACACGGAGTGTCGAATACATCCTTCAGCTTGTGAGTGACAAAACACGCTGTAGGATTGTTCCTCGGCATGTAGACTCCATACATTGTCAAACTCTTGGAATCTAAACAGTGGGCCCTGGAATTAGAAAGACACATGGTGTGCTACTTTATTCGCAGTGAAGATATATACGTATGTGACCCGCCAGGAGAAAAGGGACCTTACGGCTGCAAGGATACAATTGTGCTGTGACGTCATAAAAGAAATACAATTGACGTCAGTATTTACCCCGTATAAATCGCGGTGTTCGGATCGTACAAACATATCTTACTCTTCGCTCGTTCGTTCTAAATGTAATGAAAATCATTATGTAAAAACTTTAGATGTCTTATTTCAGGGGCGGTCGGGTAGCCTAGTGGTTAAAGCGTTGGCTCTTCACGCCGAAGGCCCGGGTTCGAATCACATGGGTACAATGTCTGAACCCCTTTTCTGGTGTCCCCCGCCGTGATATTGCTTGAATATTGCTAAAAGCGGAGTAAAACCAAACTCACTCACTCACTCACTCACTCTTATTTCAAATAATGAGACAACTATCTAAAAACTGCAATCATTACATAAACAGTTATAAGCCTGAAATGAGTCCAAATGTTTGTTGTCCTGTATTTTTGTAATACATATGACTTGAAGGTTATGAGTTGTATTTCTGTGGATACTGTAGTTTTAAAATATAAAAAATTTTGATTTGAAGTTTACACGATATACGGCTTTTCCATTGGACGAGAGGTCGGTCACATGACCGCGAAATTGACGTTCATAAGTGTATGAACGACGCAATTTGACGTTCATACGTTTTTCACGAGACTGTGTTCTTGAAATGACGTAAACACTGACGGACTACTTCCACATTCCTGGGGAAACCCCTGGAAATTCCCTAGCACGAAAACATGCATAAGCGTTCTTTCTGATCATTTAGAACCTTTATTCTTGGTCTCAGCGTTTCAGTATACTTTGAGAAATGTCAGAGACCATGACTGCATGATTGTTCACGAATATCCTCGCTACGGCCCATCCTAATGAACAAACGAAGAAATGCACATCTAAACTATCGTAGTATCGACTCGATCCGTGCCTAGGCTGACATTGACCGTCTCCAGCAATCTATGAATTTACCTTTGTGTCTGTTTGACGCATCTTTATTCACCTTTCAATGATCGGCCAGTTGATTAATGATGACTAACACATGTAACCGCCAAAGGTTCATCAACAACTTCGGAAATCTCTCCCGTCACGTTTATCGTGTCGGCCATTTTGATGTCTTGTACTTGATGTAAATGTATTACGACGCGCTGTCATTGTGACTGACTTACTGAGGTAGTTCTTTACAGACCTTTCTCATCTAATGAGGATATGATTTGAACACATGTGTTGCGTAAGATGTTTCTGGAGAGCAAGTTGTGCATCCATACGCCCATGTCACCTCTCTTTTTGAGGAACTATTTTACTCCGCGATATAGCTGGTTGTTGTATGGCTGTCAGTGTAAACATGAAGATACACGTACTAAATAAAATTGTGTTTAGATCTAGGCCTACGTCGCAAGCTCCGACGTTCATACAGTTTGGCCCTCACTCTATGAAGGTTCATACTCCAATGAACTCACACAAAGTGAAGGTCAATTCTTAAATAAGTCACAATGTGACTTGTCACCCAGAAGGCCCTTATCTCATGGTTGGTCACGTGTTCTGTTGTCTACTTCTCCTACGCCGCCTTCAGTTGGGGACCGGCCATTCATTACAGGGGAGAGTAATAAAAAAATAATATATTTTTGCATTTTGTCTATTGAGGGAGAGTCGTGAAAAAAAATGTTCTAGGACATGGAGAGGGTCATCTAACAATATGACCAGGATAGGGGGAAGATAATTATTTCAGCACATTAGCGCATCTTAAACCTCTGACCTACCCGACCCTGAAATAAATGACCGAACCCTTGAGTCACGACGTGTCGTATTGATGACAATGATGCAGATCTAGAACGTCTGTAACCACTTTGGTGAAACGGCTCAGACGGCTAGGGCATATACGACTAATAATTCTAAACTGCAAAACGGTGAGTACTACACTCCGTGTGCTTCCATGATATAGAGAGTACAGTACATACAGACCTTACATGGACAATAATCTTGAAGTCCTTGAGATAGGGAAATTCAAAAGATTGTCGCATAACAATTTTCTTGAAAGTTGTCACTGCCAGAGGCTGACTATATAGAGTAGTCTGTCATACAGACCCTGAAACAACTATATCCAGTACAGCCCATGCAAGTCTATAATATTTAGCAAGTCTTGATAACTGCAGTATCTGGCCGAAAATGAAAAAAGTCTCTGTGTTCCTTTTTATTATATTTTATAACTATAATTTAACAACTGTAAACAGATTTTTTATATTTATGTTCATTTCAGAGATTAGGTGTTAGTCTATATATAGAGTGACTTCCCTTACAACAAACACACACACTCTCTCTCTCTCTCTCTCTCTCTCTCTCTCTCTCTCTCTCTCTCTCTCTCTCTCTCTCTCTCGTAGAACTAAACGGGAAAGCTCACGTGCTGTTTTACGATCTGACCATGCTGCAAAGTGTGGTAAGACACGAAGGATATGATTCTTGATAACCGTGTTCATACCAACGAGAGTAAAAAAACACAGTGAATTTGCAGCGCCAGTTGGGATTACCTCCCTTGGGTTAACCTGCGTGCGCACCAAACTGAGGCGAAGTGTGGACATGTGCACACTCACCAATTTCATTGATCTCATCTTGTTCGATTCGAAACATCTCATCGTCAAGATCTGATAAACCCCGGTGAATGGTGCTGAAAAACTAAGAAACATAATCGGGGCGAATCTGACAATCGAACCCACGATCAAAGGTTTCTGGCACGCCTAGGGGACGAAAATACACAGCGAATTGCGGCGCCTTAGACGACTTGGCCACCAGCCCCCCAACTCGAAGTGACGTGATGCGTGTGTGATGATGTATGTGCAGTCGCTGCTGTTGATGTGCAGTTGGAACCACACCAACATTCAAGTAAAGTATAGGCCTATTATCAGTGTCATTTTGAAACTTTACTGTTCTAGTTCCAACATATGAGGCTACTAACCCGTCTATTGGTACGCGGAAATCGGGACTTTGGTCCGCGGGACGCAAATAAAACGGTATTTGCTCCTCATATTCAACATTTAAAAATAATAACCGTGTACGCAAAAGTCTCCTATATAATATCTTATTTTTGATATTTTTTCAGTCATGTAACTTCAAATCGCACCCTTTTCTCAGTGCTTTTGCGATTTGTGTTTAGTAGTATTCGGGATTTAGGGGTGAGAAATTAGACCCAGTGTGAGAAATTAGATCGTATCTGGGATTCAGTGGAGGAGTGGGATGGCACCCCCGCATATCCAGTTGTTCCGTCTCACCTGTTGTAGCGTGCTCCGGTTATGAAGGAATGGAAAGACTCGCCATTGGTTGCGTGGAGTTCTTGAAAGAATCTGTGGTAACAAATAATGTGGGGTAAAGTATCCAAAAATGTTTTTACGTCTACATCGCCAAGAAATGGTGAAAATTGTTAGAATTATCTTTTTAAATGTTTGTTTGTTGTTTAACGCCGCACTCAGAAATACTACAGCTATATGGCGGCGGTCTGTAAACAATCGAGTCAGGACCAGACAATCCAGTGATTGACATCATGAGCATCTATCCACGTTACAATGTTAATTAATGGTGACAGCAGTACTAAGTTGGACATGGTTTATGTACGAATTTCGCTCATTATGAATAATCTACACAGTTAATCAGGGTTTGACAAATGTCTTATCTACACACTAGCCCACTGGTCCAGTAAGAAATAAAAACTACTGGCCCAGATATTAAGTTACAAGTCCAACAGAAATTCAGAAGTTTAAGAGCGCAAACACTTGTCAATATAGTTAAAGTCGTTTTATTCATGACTTTACTGACTTTGTTTATTTCATGCACTTCTAACCATGGAAATTTGAGCTTCCACGACTGTTGGAATGTCCTTCCCCTCTTTCTTGTACTTTGTGTTGGTTCGCAGGGCTTTTCTATTTGCCGCAGTGGCTCTAGAAACTTCCACGAAGCGGTTCCGGCCGTAACGGCCATTACAGAATTGTGAGCGTAAAAAGTAGCATTAAGTTGATAGGTCACATTAGTCACTTCTTGTTTGCTACGATGGAATTTATTGGTTATTAACAACTGGTCTCTCACTTTCCTATGTAGAGTTGTTATCACAGCATGTGCATGCCACACGGACATAAATAGCCAGTTTACAGATATTTTATACATCGTGTTACGGTCTCGGTAAGGGAGGTAACTAAGATTGGTAGTTGGCAGAGACAAGTTGCTGCACGGCTTTTGTTGACCGAATAAAAGATCGAGTGAGTTTTAGCCTAACTTAAAGCGATTGGTACACCATTATTATTTCAATAGCCAGCTGGTCCAGTATAAATATAAAATTACTGGCCCAGATCAAGTTTCACTAGCATTTGTCTAGTTGGCCGGCGTATTTGTCGAACCCTATACTTACTCTTTGGTGTTTGTGTATGCAGAGCCTGTTTTAATCTCGCCCTCCCCTGAAACAAGCATATGTATACTTTTTTTATAATTCCGAAACATGATCAATATGTTTGTAATTCTAAAGAAGTCAATGGTATATTGTTAAGGGTGGTCTCGTCCAACTCAGCTGGCTCATTTTGACGATCGGGTTCTGGGTATATTAGTTGGTTGGTTGGTCGATTTGTTGTTTAACGCCGCACTCAACAATATTCCAGCTATATGACGGCGGTCTGTAACATAATCGAGTCTGGACCAGACAATCCAGTGATTAATATCATGAGCATCGATCCGCGCAATTGAGATCGATGACATGCATCAACCAAGTCAGCGAGCCTGACCACCCGATCCCGTTAGTCGCCTTGTATGACAAGCATAGTCACCTTTTACCTCAAGCATGGGTTGCTGAAGACCTTTTCTACCCCGGAATCGTCACGGGTCTCTGGGTATATTAATATACCCAGTGACGCATCAGTGGATGGGGACACGGTGTATAGTCAAATTTGAAATTATTAACAACAGTATATGTGTATGTTGGTTTGTTGTTTGACGCCACACTCAGCAACATTCCAGCTAAATGAAGGCGGTCTGCAAATAACTGAGTATGGACCAGACGATCCAGTGATTGATATTATGAGCATCGCCCCACGCTGTCGGGTACGTTACACGCCAATCCATGTAGTCGCCATTTAGAGCTACGACGTATCACAGATAGCTCTCACTGAACAGTATAACCGAAGGACAACGAGAGGGTAGCACCGTTCCTTAAATACATCTATTCGTGAGAAAGGTAAACGGATTAAATAGTTACGTTTCATTGTCTCTCGTCGTATTTCATAGGAGTTGACGGGTGCTGAGTTTGTTCGTTGTCGTGCCCGGAGTAACCTGCAACATAGGGACACAAACTAACCCTGGATTTTGTTTCTATAAGTGAGTGAGTGAGTGAGTGAGTGAGTGTGGGTATATTTTTACGCCGCTTTTAGCAGTATTCCTGCAATATCATGGTGGAGGACACCACAAATGGGCTTCACACATTGTACCCATGAGGGCAATCGAACCTGGGTTTTCGGCGTGATGGGTGAACGCTTTAACCACTAGGCTACCCCTACGCCCCTGGTTGCATAAGTAGAAGTATAGATACGTATATAAAGTAAGGTTTTATATTATTAGTTATAGTGTCTTTAGTGTGATATCAGGTTCGCAGAAAAAAATATTCGGCGAGGCGTAAGCCGAGCCCAATATGTTTCTGCTAACCTAATATGACACCGTATACGGCAACTAAAGACACCCTAACGAATTTATAATGCCTAAAAGGTTACATTCTCTGGTATCCTTATCTCACGTGTCATGTCAAAATGAAAACTTGACACTAACAACCGTACGTTGACGTGAAGGGTCAAAGGGAGACTACTCTTCAAACCTTAGAGGCCAAACCTTGTTCAAAATTTTAATATAATCATGAACGTGATCTAAAAACAGATTGATGTCCTTTCACATCACAATTAATGATAGTAAAACACAAAACAGTGTCAAATAACGAATTTCGGTTCCAGAATTTCCATGCGAAATATGTGAGGTGGGTGTTGGAAAATCCAAAATGGCTGTCACTGACGGTATACAGTCTCATATTAGGTCAGTATCAAGCATTTTGGATTTTTACTGACGGTATGCGGGCTCATGTGGGGTCAGTAGATCTGCACCCTGATTGGTCAATCTCACTTTGAGGCATAATAAGGATTTATATTTGTTTGTTTATTTGTTATAATAACAATTGTTGTTAACAATAGTATCACGTCTTTTCTATTTCAACTCACGTCGTTCTGGTTGGTCGGCCATACTTCAGGTTGACCTCGTTTTGGCTCTGGTCCTTCAGTTCTGTGGCTGAGAGGTACTGGTGGGTTCTGTTCGGCCGGTAGTACGTGACGCCGTCCCGGGACAGGGGAGGCTGACATTTGTTGGGGTTCAGTACTGCTGACTTGCTGAGCCGAATGTACTGGTGTTCCTCCTGAAACAAGGAGCATGTGTTATACCAGTGGCTCAGTGGGTTGAAACTTTACTTGTCATCGGCAGACTTGTCTTCTTGGCTTGTTGTATAGTTTCTCACTCAGCAATATTCCAGCTACATGACGCTGGTCAGTAATTAATCGAGTCTGGACCAGACTGTCCAGCGATTTACATCATGAGCATCGATCTACACAACTGAGATACGATGACATGCATCAACCAAGTCACCGAGCTTGACCACCCGATCCCGTTAGTCAACTCTTGTGACAAGTATGGGTTGCTAACTCGGATAATTACGGATCGCATCGGCCGAACTTCAAGATATTAATAGGACTTTAATAATCTATAATTTCTGTGTGTCGCCATGGTGACGTCTGTAAGTAAACACTGATCAATAGTGACGTCTGTCAGTAAACATTTACGCATGGTGACGAGAGTCAGTATACATTGGCCCATGGTGACGAGAAGTAGTGTACATTGGCCCATGGTGACGAAAAGCAATATGCATTGACCTAGGGTGACGAGGGTCAGTGTACAATGGCCAATGGTGACACCATTAACTATGGTGATGCGAATCAGAATGTACAAAAAGGTCATGTATTCACAAACTATGAGTGAGTGAGTTGGGTTTAACGCCGCTTCTTAACAGTAGTCCAGTTATATCACGGCGTGTCAGCTTAATGTCCCCGGGGGGAAAACCCGTGTGATGCAGGTCTCAGACGTTTACCACTTCAGTGAAACCCACGAGCACGGGTATGGTGCTGACAAACCTAGAAACATAATCGGGGCGAACCGGGAATCGAATCCACAATCAAAGGTTCCCGGCGTGCCCAAGGGACGCAACTCTGCACAGTGAATTGCGGCGCCTTCGACGACTGGACCACCAGCGCCCCCTCACAGACGATGACGATATCATTATGCATCATCCTACGTTGACTAAACCGATAAGACATTGCCCTGTGTTTCACTAATCACCAATCACACATTGTGGGATGACCAACCTTGACCGTTCGCTTACCTTAGAGGGAGACATGAACTTGTGCAAGAAGAGCGGCGACTCTCCACTGTGAGTGACCTCTTTGCTCGCCTCCACGCTCCATGTCGGAGACCCATGGACCTCAAGGAACTCCTCGTCAAACAGCTGGTCGATCTCCGCGCGCAACTTCCGGTGGTACTCCCGGCTCTTCTCCTGAGATAAGGGCGTGGGCGGATGTTTCGAACATCCTGCAACAGAAGCAGTCGGCGGTTAGTTCAGTTACTTGGTTGTTTTATCAAATTACGTTTTTTTCAAAATCACTTACATGACTTTTTTTTAATATTGTATATCTGGTTACCTTTAAAATATCTGCAGTCTGACATCTTACAACTAAAGTCCAACGAAATACGGTTTAATCAAGGTCCTGTCAGACATATGTGAAATTATCCGTTGTAAGAGACATGTAAGGCGATATTTCAAATACTATCAATAACTTTGCAGGACCATTGAATCACTTCGTTTCTGACAGTAAACTACGGTTATAACGAACTCCACGGGACCACTAATTTTAGTTCGTTATAACCGTAGTTCGTTGTAAGCATATATAGAGCATAACTACAGCAAATAGTCGGGACAAAAAATTAAGTTCGTTATATCCGTCAGTTCGTTATAAGCGTGTTCGTTATAAACGTAGTTTACTGTATTTTGAGATATTTTGTTTGTGTCATCAGGTTTATTTTCCAACATACAAAATGCGGTAATGACAGCAAACATATCAGTCAAGCTGAGGTGGTACAACATGAATTCACAGGCAAAAGAATTGACAATTTGCCCTTGAATTGTCCCTGTTCTGGCATTTGTATATTCAGCCGATTATATCGAACCTTGTGCTGTGGAACAGAATCAGTAGATTCATGGAGGAAAGTAGGCTAACGCTTAGTCTCCGAAAATATATAAGTTTGATTTAGCAAGCCACTACATATAAATTGAAAAGGAGCCCCGGGGAGTTGGTAGATTCAGAACGGGCTTCACTTAGGGCTATAGAATAACAGTAAGGGCTGTGGGAAAGGGGAAATAATATGGCTCAGGATTGTTATGAATACAATTATGTGTGTACAAAGGGTGAAAATCGTAAGGTAAGACTGTTTAGTTGAAGGTTGCTATGCATGAAACCCATCTTCCCCTGCCTCTGTGAGAGTACTGGTTAGTACAGGTTCTCGGTAACCCATGTGTGTCGTACGAGGCGATCAGATGGATCAGTCCGGTGAAGATTCTGGGTTCAGTAAACAATGCTTGTCGTAAGAGGCGACTAACGGGATCGGGTGGTCAGGCTTGCTGACTTGGTTGATGCATGTCATCGTATCCCAATTGCGTAGATCGATGCTCATGATATCAATCACTGGATCGTTTGGTCCAGATTCGATTATATACAGACAGCCGTCATATAGCTGGAATATTTGCTGGGTGAGGCGTTAAGCAACAAACAAACAAACAGATCAGATGGATCGATTGGTCTGATTTTCCATAGCGTTCTCTTGCCTTCCCCTACCGAGGACCCGGGGTAGAAGGGGGGGGGGGGGGGGGGGGGGGGGTGAGTGAGTGTGGTTTTACGCCGCTTTTATTCAGCAATATTCCAGCAATATCACGGCGGGGGGACACCAGAAATGGGCTTCACACATTGTACCCATGTGGGGAATCGAACCTGGGCCCTAGTCGTGACGAGCGAACGTTTGAACCACTAGGCTACCCGACAGCCATTGGATGACCTGGTTGATTGTGCGTATTCGTACCACAAGGTCAATCACTATGCATGTGTTACTGGTGGGGCAACTCACGCTCATCTGTCCTCAACATGTGTTGAAGGTAAGATATTGGAATGACTTCGCCCTTTGGCCTTCAGGCATAATTCTTTTATAATGAACATATACTCAACAAAAATGTTAGGGATCATGAATATTTTCGGGGATATTTTTATAAAATTGTGTGTTGAATCTTTACAACAAATAAGTATCCTCCAAATATTCATGATCTCTGACGTTTGTAGTAGATCCTTAAATCGGTTATGACGCTGATCCATTTGCAAATCATTCAGTACAAGAAGCTGGAGGTACAATAGCGTATTTAATCTTCATTCGCAAAGGAGCAAACCACAGCCTGCATGTGGATATTACAGCAGTACACGGATATGAGGAGGGACCTGGTGGCACATTCGATTGGGCAGAGTTGCGCCCCTTCCCCACTTTCCGGATCCGTTGGTTGCGGGTTCGAATACTGAATTTGACCCAATTACATAAAAGATCCTTTTGTAATCTTGTATTATTATTGTTGTTGTTGTTGTTGTTGTTGTTATCATCATCATCATCATCATTATTATTATTATTATTATTATTATTATTATTATTATTATTATTATTATTATTATTATTATTAACTGCATTACCCAGATTGTCAGAAGGGCTGTATTACGGGTAGCAAACCCTGGTACTCCCCCAATGTCAGTCAACAGATTGGGAGGCACCAAACCTAAAGCACCGAAGACAATGGGGAGAAGTTGTAGTAGTCGTAGTAGTAGTAGTTGTGGTAGTAGAACTACATAAATATATAAGATACACTGATTGACTCGGTCATCAGGATATGTGTTTTGGTTCCATTAATTTTGTAAACGTCTAAGATCCACACAACTTCCGGTTCCCCTTCCATGTGACACGCCGTGACATTACTGAAACCAACTCACAGCAGTGAGTACACCTGTCCTTGCATCACAAACTTTAACGAGACCCTTTTTTTCTTATTAAAGTGAAAGCATTCTCCGCTATGTGCTCAGAGACCTTCCCGTGAAGACAAAGACTTGAGTGCAATATTACACTGAGGAGTAGATAATGCACGCGATATTGCGCAGCAGCATATTAAGGACACACTGTTAAGAACGTGTTCTTACCAATTTGCCGGGAAACGTAATATTTCTTCAAAGAATTCCCACTTTTGTATGCACCAGGTGCGTGTTGACAAAACACCTTATGTGCATTAAGGCATTAGCGGGAGATCACAAAAGGTGCATTGACAACAAACGGAACGAAATCTATGCAACAAGCTCTATTCACGAAGTAAGGTAACCCGAATACTATAAAAGAGCTTTTCAGAAGTCCTTAGCAATTCATGTACGTCGTTTAAATTGATCTGAATAGCTCTGGAGATACACGAAATGTAGGTAACATTTACTTAAAGGCCTTGCCCTTTCTGACACAGCTGAAGGAAAGCGGTTTTAAATTATGAGCATTTAACACAGGACTACGAACAGACAATTTGAATACATGACATGGTCATGTTCGCCGATAAGTGTCAAGTTGCGTTCACAGACGTCTGAACTAAGGTGACGCATGATTGACAAACTCTTTCTTCCCCGCTGAATTACGCTGTGTTAAGCCAGGTCATACTGTGTGAGATGCGAAAAGTGTTTTGAAACTTAAAATAATCTTTGAGTCGTGTAGCGAATTTTTGTTGTAGTTTTATTATGATGGTCGACTTAAGGATTTCAGCTTTATTACGATGGGCTGGAAGTAATCGAGGTTGGATCTGCATCAGGAACACCAGAGACAGATCTCCGCCATCGTGGTACGTTGACGCGCAACCAGCCAGGTCACCCGACCACTCGGTTCACAATAGTCTGGTTAGTTACTGGGCCCTTTAGTAACGCGAAGGGGTGGCGGGGGAGCCTCATGGCTAGATTGCTCGCTCGCCATGCTGAAGACCCGGTTTCCATTCCCCACATGAGTACAACATGTGAAGCCGATTTCTGGTGTCATCCGCCGATGAATTATGCTGAGATTAGTGATGAATTATGATGGAGTAAGTTATGAATTATGCTGAGATTAGTGATGAGTGAGTGAGTACGGTTTTACGCCGCTTTTAGCAATATTCCAGCAACATCACGGCGGGGGACACCAGAAATGGGCTTCACACATTGTACCCATGTCGGGAATCGAACCCAGGTCTTAGGCGTGACGAGCGAACGCTTTAACCACTAGGCTACCCGACCGCCCTAGAGATTAGTGATGAATTATGCTGAGATAAGTGATAAATTATGTTGAGATTAGTGATGAATTATGCTGAGATTAGTGATGAATAATGTTGAGATTAGTGATGAATTATGCTGAGATTAGTGATAAATAATGTTGAGGTTAGTGATGAATTATGCTGAGATTAGTGATGAATTATGCTGAGATAAGTGACGAATAATGTTGAGATTAGTGATGAATTATGCTGAGATAAGTGACGAATAATGTGGAGATTAGTGATGAATTGTGCTGAGATAAGTGACGAATAATGTTGAGATTAATGATGAATTACGCTGAGATAAGTGACGAATTATGCTGAATGATTTCACGTCGTAATGCTGTATCCGAGCAGCTTGAACTTCGTCAAGACGGCCAGAGGTCACCAGTGGGGTCAGTGATACATGCATGCACTGACACGGCCATACCCTAGTGACCATACAAGTTCTACTCATATAATACTGCCATTGTGACCACTCAAAACCCACGGGCTACTGATGACAAATGCTGCATTGGAGCGTGTTACACGGGACTTCAGACAGCTATTCCAGTTCGGAGACAACAGTATTAACCAACTACCGATGTAATAAACTAACAGACAGCATATAAGGTACCTAATTTAAGACGGTACTAAAATTAGAAATTAACGACCTTCATTAGAAGTGTTTTTTTCACGTGAAATCCCCATCAGCGTACCGTATACAGGCAATCAATCAGTCGACCTTTTCCCAAAAAAACAACCATAATGGCTTTACTTGATTATGTGTCATTTGGATTACAGCCATCAAAGTCAGCAATCGACATTGGTGCAGTTATTGAACCTTATTTACGTTTCCTTTTTATCAAGCCATTGATTTCATGTCTGCCATACATCGTTAACGTGTGTGTGGTCGCCCACGATGTCTGGTGTCGTGCATGGTGGCCTTGTGAACAAAGGCCAACTTCTATTTACGTGTGATGGAATTATTGCGGTACCTGTGGTGTGAGAATCGTTTTGCGCTTCCTGTATTTATATTCACGCTTCCTGTATTTATATTCACGCTGGAAAGATGCTTCACAGACTGTAGGGAATCGAATACGACCTGAAAGCGTTAACGTTTTACCTATCGAGAACCTATGTGTTTATCTCCCCCCCCCCCCCCCTCCCCCCTACACACACACACACACACACTTTATTGATAATATCGATAGGTCTA